AAGTTAATAATTGGCCCAGATGGGGAAAGTCTAAATAAGGGAGACATGGGATCACTATTACTATCAAAATGGGCTTGATCATTTTCCAGCTGTTTAAATTTTTTCCTAATACCTACCCCTTCAAAGTCTCCTGTCAACTTTCTTCCAGAATTCAGAAATCCTGACAACCTTTCTTCATCATGTTCCTCATCACAGACCTGCTGCATTGACTTCGACATTTCACAGCCACCAACAAAATCAACATCTCCAGTCCCATCCATCCATGTGTCAACCCTTTACCTAGTTTCCTTGTCTGACTGATTACTTTTTTCAAACTCCTCTGCTGCCCGACCAACACTACTGCTTCCCGACCTTCTTCCTCTTTCTCTGACATTGCACCCTCACCGGACCTCCTCTCTGAGGCCAACTCCGAATAAAATTCTGAAACTGCAAATGATTTTCTAAAAACAGACCCTATATTTATTTTTACCTTATATGATCTCCCATAAGATCCTAATGTGATCACTTCAGGAACGTCAAAAGGGCTCGCCACCCTTAACAACACCCTTGCCACAGACATATCCTCTCTTTTCACCGTAGAGTCTTGAATGCATATCATCTTTCCCCACCGCCTAACAAACTTCTCCAGAAAAGGAGCATTCTAACACAACAAGGGTACACCATCAAGTTCCACCAAACAAAAAGCCAATGGGATTTCATCTTCGCTTAGAAGAGGTTCAAGCCAATCAAACTGAAAAAATAATTCGTCATTCTTCTTCACCCACACCTCATTTAGCTCTTCAGACAAATCAAAAGTGACCAAACAAGAGTTCCAAGCGTAACCCCAGTTGGCTATCCTAACCTTAATCCCATCACTGGCCAATCCCTTTTAAACCAAGTCTAAATCGAATAAAGGTTTGATGATCCCTGTAAAAGATCTTTTAACCCACTATGATTCATTTGCAGGGATGAGCATCTCCCACATATTTCTCAATCCAAGAGCCCTTCGAGAACACCCTTCTTTCTGTTCCTTTTAACACTGGTTCATCACTCTTCCTTCCATTTGAGACCAAAGCATCCTTGTAAGATCTTCCATCTCTGAAGCTGCTCAAAGATTCTGCTCCCTCTCTTATCCTCCTACCCTCTCCCCTGATTGACATATCTTTTTCTTTCTGGGATTTACTGGCAGTAGCAATTCTAGACCTATAACTTCAATATTTCGTAGCCCCTACAGTCACTTTCTTTCCATCAATCCACGCTCCATTGATGTTTTCAATCGCCTTCTTTAAGCCTTCCTCATTCTCAAATTGAACGAAAACGAACGTTTGATTCCTATACTTTGGATTTTTTGAAACATTTGGAATGTAAACCCGAACTACATGACCCTAATGTTGAAAAAGTTATCTAACAACTCTCCTTGACACTCGCTTGCTCAAGTTATCTACAAACGACGTCCATTCCTCACCGGAGGACGTTTGACTGACCAGATTTATTCTTTCTCTCACTCGGCTCTCTCTCATGTTTGTACTTTTTTTATTGTTACACCTTTTTAATTTTGTCCATCCATGATAAAAAATAAGTCGTGAATTTAAATATCCCACACTGTTCATGAGTTGAAAGATCAAATAAGCTTCTCTGCTCTTAATCACCTTACCATGAGGAAAAAGAATAATGTTAGGGTTGGTGGCTGGGAAAGGAAATACTTATTTACTGTACAAAATTGTTTGGTAGATGTGATTGATTAAATAGACTTCTAATATGCAACTAGATCTTATCATTAATAAATAAGGAAAAGTAAAAAAATGAGTTGGAGTCACGTGTTAGTGAGAGAAGCTCCAGCTTCTCACTAACCCAGGCGATTTCAAATTTTGAATCTCCATGAGCCCAGGCATTTTAGAAAACTATTTTCTCCTCCGACATCCACCCGTTGTCTGTCGTCAGCCGTCCGCCGCCACACTCCGACCATCGTTTTGATGCCTTTTTTTCTGGGAAGATCGCCGGCTCACGGTGATTTTAAATCTGGCCTTAGATTTGTGATAGAATCATTCAATCAACGTAGATCATGACGAAGTCCTCTGCCGTTTTTAGCCGCTTCCCGTTGTTCGTGCTCAACACCGCTGCACCACCGGGCTCAGTGCCTTCTCGCGACCAGAACCCCCTATCCAAGTATCGAGAATCGTTTTTATTCTCCATTTATTTCTAGTAACCGGGTCGGCAGAAATATATACCATTTCCTCCTCCTTCCTGTTTTTTTCTCGGTCCTCATCATGGAACTCGTCTCAACCCAGGAATCCTCGAAGGTTTGTTGCAACAAGCGTGGTGGCTGCATCCTATGTGAGTCACTCTACTGTTCCTCCTTCAATGTCAAGATTTTCTCCACTCCCTCATGAACCATATTTCCGTGGTGCTTCTGTTGATATTTCTCTTGATTCTGCCAAGGATTTAGAAGCGAGAGTGAAGGAACTTAAAGCTCAAGTGTCTGATTTGAAGAAACGGGAACAAGAACTAAAAAGGTTGGAGAATGCATTAACACGAGGGAGGTTTTTCAATACATCGGAACTCGTTGGTGTAACGACTTCATCTTATTCCGGTAAGGAAAAACAAGCAGTAAAGACTGAAAAGGAGAGGAAAAAGTCTCGAAAACGACACAGGCGAGTTTTCACCAGACGTATGCTGGCCGGATTGAGGCATTACGGTAATTTCCCTCTTCCCCCGCATTCTGCTATGAATGATGTATTGGCTGCTTTGGCCCGTGAGGCTGGTTGGACAGTAGAGCCCGACGGCATTACGTACAGACAATCTCCTACTCCCCAAAATCAGCAAAATTTGGGAACGGATACAATGAGGTCAGGAGGGAAATATAAGGTCGGAAAGATTTCTGCAGTACAAGCAATACCAGCTTTTCCTATCGTAGATATTGATCTTGTTGGAACCAAAGAGAGCACCACGATAGGGCGCTCCAATGAAAAGTTTTCCGAAGTAACGAGAAGGAGAAGAAATGAGTCTCATAATTCGTTGAAGGAAGATCAACCAAGAATCGGAAATGGGTTCAGAAATGGTTGTTTCATGATATTTATCGAAAACCTTCCAGAGATAATCCATTGGAAGAGACTTGGGTTTATATTTGGCATACACGGTCAAGTTATTAATGCCTTCATTCCTAAAAAAAGAAACTCGAAAGGGGTTCGTTTTGGGTTTATTCGCTATGCAACAATTGAGGAAGCCAGGATAGCGATATCAAAGATGAATGGTACTCATATTTACGGCAGCAAAATTAGAGTCTCCTTGGCTAAATATAAACCCCGACAGTCTTACTGGGGAAAGTCCTCGACATTTGTTCACCTAAAGTCTGGGATGGAAGATATTTCGAGGAATAAACTCTCTAAAGTTGAGGGAGTAGTGGACGAAGATAAACTACACGTGTTGAATAATTGTCTTGTGGGGTGGTGTAAGAACTTTATCAAAATTGGTAATCTTGCCAACCAAATTCAAGCCAAAGGACTAACTGGCTTCACGCTAATGAGAGCTGCTGGAAATGTGGTTCTAATGGTTTTTGAAGACTCTGAATTGTTGAGAATCGTGAAGGATGAGAAACTAGAGACTCTTGCAGAATGGTTTTCCAGAGTGGAAACTTGGTCAGAGAGCCTAGTGGTAGAGTGCTGTCTCGCCTGGTTAGTTTGCGAAGGTATTCCTTTTCACGCTTGGAATTGGAATACTTTAAGAAACATTGCAACTAAGTGGGGCAAATTAGTAGCAATCGACAACAGTTGTGAGTTTCCATCATCTTTTGATCGGGCTAAAATTCAAATACTCACAAAGGCTCAAGGGAGAATTGATGAGTTGATGGAGTTGAAGGTAGGCAATAATTTATTCAAAATCATGGTGCACGAAGTTTATCCTTCCTTCAAACCTAATTCTTGGGTCCCCGAAGATTGCGATATTTCACTAGAACTTGTTCCTTCAATTGGATCTTAATTGCTCGACAGTTGTATTCAGAGACGCTTATTTTGGTTTTTGTTTGTAATGTTGGTTTTTATTGTATTAGAAGGTGTTGTTTGATGGGTTAATAGGACAGATTGTTTGAACTATTGTTGCAGTTTATGGGTGGTTTAGGGTTGTTCCCTGTTTATATGTTTCTGTTAAGGGTGTTTATCAGGTTGTATCTTATGTAATTTCTTATGTTCAATAAAATCTTAAGGCACTCTTTTCCTCCTTCCGCTGATTAAGGAGCTACCCTACTAGCTCCATTAATCAAGAAGGGCGTTTTTAACGAGGTCTGAGATTCTTATAAAAAAATTAATAAATAAGGAAAAGTTACTAGAAAATCATTTGCTATTCTTTTATTTATTTATTATCTTAAATATTTTTTGACTAATTTTATAATGATAGTTATACAGTATTTCTGCTGTATAAAAACCAAGTTATCTATTTGCTACTAGTAGAAGGATTAGGTAACCGAAGAATGGTGCTACTTCATTGAGTGCCAGGATAAAATGTTCTATATACTTGGAAATATTTGAGTATCAATTAGAGAGGGAGAGATACATCCTGTCAATAATTTCTTTACTATGCCTTTTTGTTACTAGTTTTATGTGAAAGCTTTTAGAAAGAGCAAAATAATGTGTTACTAACGAGCTGTGCCAGGAATAATTCTTTGCAGTAGTTAGGAATTAAAATTCACTTCCCCCACTTTTAAAAGCTTATGTTGGATTCAACTTTTAATTTTGAAAAGTTTCTTCCTTCAAGCCACTGAAAATTTCATGTTAACTGTTTCCCCTTGTAATCTGCTTTTCAAATATCGTCTTCCAGTGGTTGCCATACAAATTTGAGCATTTTTGTACTTCTAAAAGAAAATTATTTTATATTTGAGGCTATTGTCTAAGTTATATTCAGAGGTTTTCCTATTAATGAAAAGAACCATTGGTGCATTATATTTAAATTTTAGCTTGATGACTTTTATTCTTTATTTTTATATCAATTTTCATGTGCATAATTAATGGGACTTTTCCCACCGACTCAAGGACCGAGCCAATGAGATATATAAGAAGGTGGAAGATCAGAAGTCTAGCAGAGGAAGAAATCAGGATGCATTGTTGGCTGCTTGCCTATATATTGCTTGTAGACAAGAAGACAAGCCACGCACTGTCAAGGGTACATCCTAAGATTCTTTTAACATCTGGATGTTCTGTAGTTTATCTTTCTTAATGTGTGTATGAGCTTCCCTGAACTTATGGATTTCAATTAGAAATTTGTTCTGTTGCCAATGGAGCCACCAAGAAAGAGATTGGCCGAGCTAAAGAATACATAGTGAAACAACTTGGACTGGAAAATGGCCAGTCTGTGGAGATGGGAACCATACATGCTGGTGACTTCATGGTGAGTTCTCTTTTTTTGAGGAAAACGAAAACTACTACAGTGCTTTCAGTAAACAACTATGTTGTTGTTTTCCATATAGTTGGAAGGGTGAATTTCCATTTTTAAATATTGTATTTCTTCATTTATGCTTATTACAAATTATGCTTGCCACTGACTTTAATTTCTATAATTATCAGAGGCGGTTTTGTTCCAACCTTGGTATGAATAAACAAGCAGTTAAAGCTGCCCAAGAATCAGTTCAGAAGTCGGAGGATTTTGATATAAGGTAGTAACTATGTTTTTATCATAATGATGCGAGGCAAAACTGAAACTACTGTTCAAGACTTTTACCTTAAAAAATCAACTCACTATCCTCTGAGTTGGATAATTCTTTGTGGACTGTATTTTCAGTTGAGCAACTGACATGACTAGGCAAATTAATTTTTTTAATAATGATGCAAAGAAAAGGAAGCTTGTTGTGTATATAGACAGACAATTATGCTTGAAATTTTGCAACAATTGCCCTTAAGTTTTAGAGACTATTATTATGGAGGTGGACTATGAGGTACTGATGCATGAGAAGCAAGAAACTTTTGGGGATGATATTGAGAGTCTGGACTAGGGATTTTTATTGAGACATCTGATCTACTATGTATATCTTTAATGTTTTTTTTTTAACTTATACTTGCTGCTGTATGTATTTACTGACAATTTAAATAATTTTACAGGCGAAGCCCAATATCGATTTCAGCTGCTGTTATTTATATTATAACACAGCTTTCAGATGATAAGAAGCCTCTAAGAGGTTTGATTTTTCCAATCATACTTGTTAAGTAGAAATAAAGATGTTTCACCAACTATTATGTGCCTATTTTCCTTCTTGATACGGTTCTGAATATTGCATTTTAGCTTCTAGTATTGACTTATCAGACATGGGTGCTTATGAAATGCCGTTGTCAATTAAGAAATCAAACAGTGTCTTCAAAATTTGAGCGGCTACAATTGTTCCATGAAAAATGTACACTTTTGATGGTAAAATGTGATGGATGCAGATATTTCACTTGCTACTGGAGTTGCAGAAGGGACTATCCGAAATGCGTACAAGGATCTTCACTCCCATCTGGAAAAGATAATACCAAATTGGTATGCCAAGGAAGAAGATCTCAAGAATCTATGTAGTCCTTGAAGTTTAGAACAGACAATGACTGAGAATACACACACACACAAAAGGGCCCTGAAATTGGTACTCTCCCCTGGATGCAGTGGAACTCTTGGAAAGCTCCAAGATTAACGGTTTTTTTTTCTTTTTTCTTTTGGTTTTTCGTACTTGACTACATCCTTACAAGTAAAGACAGAAGGGAGGGGAGGTAATGCGGAAAAGGTGGTCCAAGTGTATTGTTTGGTTACTTAGTGGTCCAAGTTATTTACTGATTAGTTTGTCTTGCAACAGATTTTTATTGATATATTATAGAAGTGGAATTTGTACCAGACTAGGTTGTTTAAGTAAACCATGGCTGTATAGACAATAGTTTTTGGATATTAATGTTTATGATAATGCCAGATAGTGGCATTCTTTGCAGGATTGCTACTTGGCAGAAGTTGTCGACAACAGCAGCACTCCATGCCCCAGCTTCGTGCTTGCAGTCTGGCATGCTGTATTTCTGCATAGGAAGTTCATTTAATATCGTTTGTTTAGCACTCAAGCATCCCAACGCTAACATGTGACAAAGTTAATTGAAAATGCAGCTACCTATGAACTTCTGATTATGTCCCAGATGTTGGAGTTAGTCCTGGGAAGGTCTGTGAGATTTCATGTCGGGGTTTACTCCGATCTTGAGATGTCTTGCAGAACATGATTTGGAAGTTAGAGAAATTTACATCCCAACCTTTACATGGAATACAAATACTTCCATTATCTGCCGTACAACAAATGCGGTAGCATTTAACTTAAGCATGCCATTAGTATTCTGTTCACTTAATATAAAAGTACTTAAAGAATGTATCAAAAAATGTAGTGTCTAAAGAAATTTTTGTTAAAATTTGGTGATTAAAGTTTTTTTCGTTACATTTTTAGGTATCTACTGTTAAAAAAATTATTAAGTGATTTGTTATGTCTAGTTTTTTTAAATAAATAAAATATTAATAGTTTTTAAAAATATTTTTTTTTAAATCTAAACGTGACACGTGTCAATTTTTTTAACGGTAGGCACCTAAAAGTGTAACAGATAAAACTTTAGACAATTATTTTTAACAAATAATTTTTTAAGCATTAAAAATTAATTTTAAATATAATTTAGACACTTATTTTTGTATTATGTCTTCTATTAAACTAAAAATTTACGTGAGTGTCATTTTCACATAACTTGTATTATTCAACCGTGTTTGACTTTCTTTTACGTTACCATTAACTTACCAACTTTTCCTACACTATCCATGAAGTCATTTTTATGACTTATTTTGGGGAGGGAAGATTATATTTGGGGTCTTCTACGGGTAGCTTGAATTTTCTTATTTCTCTTTCATCATTTCTTCCACAATAACTAGATTTACTAAATGATGTGTGTTTTTGGGTAAACTGTATATTTGGTCACTTAAATTTTGTTTCAACTATTATTTTTTTTAAGTTATATTTAATGTTATGTTCTGGTTATACTAGTTATATTTTGAACACTTGCCCTTAAAAAATTAATGATGATGATGATATGTCATCATAAGATGATGAATAAAAAAAAGTTATGTTAGCATCGTCATTAACTTTTTTACCTCAGATGATCAAAATAGAATCATAACATAAAGTTAACTATTTTTTTAAATATTAGTTAAATGATCAAAATAGAAATTGAGTAATAGACGTGCGACCAAGTAAATAGTTAACCTTTTTTATTATGGTACATGGGAATTAATGTCTAAATAACATAATCAATTATTATTTTTTTAAAAGTTATATATAACGTTATGTTCTAATTATATTTTAGTTATTTTTTTATAAATAAGGTATCGTTAAAAACCCCTTCATAATCGTCAAGCACCAAGAGTGACTCAACGGACATTGGAAGGACGAAATGAATGCCTTAAAATTTTATTGCATAAACACCAAATACAAGTAGAGTACAATACAACTAGACCCATGGCAAATACTTCAGCATTGAGCTACATTAACTGTATAAACACAATAATGACCATACCCTACTCATGACCTCTCTCTTAAAAACACTCGACCAAAAGCAACATACAATTACCAAAAATGTCATCAACCCAATACAATAATTTCAATCCAACAAATAAATCCATCCAGTTAGTCTATCCCTTGCTTAGCAAATTCATTTGCCAACAACACATTTATCAACCACAATCGAGGCGATATCTTTAACTATGGACATGAATAGCGGTGTGGTGGCAGCAGGATTCTTTATCCAATCCACTGCCACAACACTATCAGATTCCAAAATAAACCTTCGATTCATCGACACCCCGACTCCAAAAACAACACCAACCCTCGCTTCATTGCCAACAATTCTGCCAAAATAGGAGGGCCAAAACCAACACTTTCTGAGAACGATCCCAACATTGCACCTCTTTCATCTCTAACCAACCCACCGATGCCACCCTTCAACCACAAATTGTCCAAGCGCCATCCACTTTCACTTTAATAAAGCCTATGGGAGGCGGAGACCAACTCGCTACCTTTGAAGGATTCCTATTAGAGATCGAAACACGATCAGCTACTGCAGAATCTCCCACTAGACTATCGAAAGAAACCATCACTTTTTATATTTTAGTTATGTTTTGATCACTTATCCTTAAAAATTAATGACGATGATGATTTGTCATCATAAGATAATGAATAAAAAAAGTTATGTTAGTATCATCATTAATTGTTTTTCATTTAAGGTGACCAAAATAGAATCATAACATAAAGTTAAATATAATTTTTTTTAAAATAATAATTATATGATCAAAATAGAAATTAAGTAATAGATGTGTGACCAAATAAATAGTTTACCATTTTATTTTGGTAAACGGGAATGAATGTCTAAATAACGGAAGAAGAGTCTTTGAAGAGTAGCCCTATAAGCTAACCATCTAATCTTTTGTAGTGATATAAAAAATTGTTCATAAGGGTCAAGTCTTGTAACAAACAAATTTTGTAATTATCTAATTAATTCAAACTATATCGATCAAATTTTAATTTAGTTGATATTATTATTATAATAATTTAGAATTTAGAGTATGTTGAGTTGATTGTATTGTTCATAAGGGTCAAATCTTTTAACAAACAAATTTTGTAAGTATCTAATTAATTCAAACTATACCGATCAATTTTTAATTTAGTTGATATTATTTTTCTATTAATTTAGAATTTAGAGTATGTTGAGTTGATTGTATTTTTTTTTTGAAAATAACCAGAATATTTCATTTATAGAAAGTTGTATCAACAAACGTCTTACCAACTACATACTGAACAAATACAGTCAAGAGTATCGAAAATAAAATATAACAATGACCTCTTAGTGATAGTCTGATAAACAAAACCATTAACAAGTGGAGCAACGACGTACGTAAACAGAATACACTAACGGCTTTGAGCAACAAAACATGGAGAGAAATTGGACGAAGAACCAAGATGGCCAACGGAAAAAGCGATCTCCCCTTAACGACAATCCCATCCGGCACATATATGTGATAACCAACGAACCGTCTTGTACAAACGAACACAGGAATCAGGCATCGGGAAAGCAACCAACCATGTATTCGGTGAAAAACAAAAGACATAGAATAAGCCCAACAATAAAACCTGCACCGATAGTCTAAAACACCGGTATGATACCATTTACTAGAAAAAGGACCAATTGAAAATACGATAAAAAAGAACTAAAAATGACAGGGTGGTGGCCGAAGAAGACCACCACTGCTTCCATAAAACAAAGAAATTTTAAAAACTACCCGGTAAACCATGTAACTTTCGCATAACACTTTGTGGAAGAGTGGGCTTGAGTTGATTGTATTTAAGTACATAATTCGTTTATTAAGGGTTTAAAGGAGTTATGAGATAATTTAAGTACTATGAAAAAAAGGTTAATTTTTGAGCTTGTACAATGTATATGTTAATAAAAATATATTAATTAGTTTTTTATTCATATATATATATTTTTTTATATAATATACTAAAACATAATAGTTAATAAATAATGTAACATCTCAAATTTTTGAGTTAAATTAACGTACTTTAAAACTTTTGTGCTTATGTAAAAGCTCTAAAGAGTTAGAGAACTTGTTGTGTAATTTACCCAAAATTAGGGTTAACACCAATATTCAACCATCTTTTGCTTTTTATTTCCAAATTTCCGCCTCTCTCTCTCACACACACAACCATCTTATGTTTTGGTTACAACCATCTTATGTTTTCGTTTTTCTTTGATTCGTCACTAACCATGAGGTGGTGTTCGACACCTCCGATACCATTGTGTTCGTCTTATCAACCCCGTTCATCCAGTTAACTTGGATTGTCGTTTGCCATTTCGCTTGCAATCAGTGAAGCTTCTAATATTCATATTTCGATAAAACCCTATCTTCGTCGATCTTTTCAAAAATCGATGTTTGTAAGTGACTCTTCGGGCCTTAAAATATTTTTCTGCACTTTTTGGGAATTTTTCGACCAACAGAGCAGGCTTCATGCTCCTCACACATTGTCGTGAGTGAGTGCGCTTTGTATTGGCAGTTTAGTGAGCCAGTCCATTTGGACAGACCTTAAATCGGTTGGTCTGATTGAATCAGTTTGATCAAATCAAACCCTAACACGAACCGTTAATCATTGACCATTAACTTTTACTTTTACTTTGACCTGTTTACTTTTTTTTGAAGATTCACATATTTATTTTTGAACGTCTTGAGTTTGTTTTTTTAAATTCTGACCTGAAAGACTTGTCTTACGTCATTTATCGCTTAAAGTCTTAATTATGTTAAGTAAATTGTGAGATTTTGGTCTCACTTTTTGGTATTATTTTCTAAAGGTTCTTCTGTGTCTCCACATCACTCTCTAGTATATCTCGATCATTCCCGTTCTATTTTGATTTTGCACACTTATCTCGATATATGTATAATTGTTATTTAGTGACTTTATAGTTTATTTCTATTTAAATGTAGGGCATCAATATTCATAAAGTGATATTATTTTTAGGTCCCCATTCCACAGGACCTAGTACGATTGATCGTGGGAAGCGTAAGACTTAGTTAGTGTTAGTTAGTTGTAATAGGTGTGTCCCCTTAACCTGTTTGATACCTTTATTATTATATGGTATTGTGTTGTATGTTATTGTCCGTACGCATGTACGTATTCTGGTTATGTTTATATGGGTTATAAATGATTTCTGATTATTGATGCATTACTTTTAATCTGTATATTGATGTATTTTTTTATTCTATATAGGATTATATCCCCGTTTTGATTTTGCATGGGATCCTCTTCGGTGAACTAAACACCAATTCTAACTTCTGGTTGTAACCGGGAACCTCTTTGGAGGGTAACATCCCCATTCTATTATCCATGACGAAAGATAAAGCTGTGTGAATTTCATATTAT